TGCTCCTCGGGCCCGCGGGCACCGTTGTCGAGGCGGCTCTGCTCCTCGGGCCCGCGGTCACTGTTGTCGAGGTGGCTCTGCCTGGGTGTTTTCTTGGCAGATAACCAGAGATAGTGGCTTTGATTGCAAAACCCCAAGCCTGCCTGCCCGCCCCTCTCTTACTCTTCAGAGAAGGTGTCTGGGTGCTTTTTGGCAGGGCCTGACCTTGTGAGTCCCCTCCCCCAAACCTCAGTTTTCTGTCTGTAAGGTGGGTGTGGATGGCTTATCGCAAGAATAACTCAGTGAATGCTGGGCCACAGTGGGTGCTCAGTGAGAGATTAGCTGCCCTCCTTTGGATCTGCTTTGGGACACCCCCCAAGAGGTCACCCCAAGAGAGGGCTGGAGTGCAGCTCCTTCAGCTGTCCCTCTGGCATTTTGGAAGATCATAACAGCAGTTGCACCTTTGTTACTTTATTCTGCAAGTGACTGATGGCACCAGCGTGCACCAGGCGCCAGGGGTGCTGGAAACTGCGCAGACGAGGCCCTGACTTCGGGCACTTACATTCTAGTGAGGGCGTGGAGAAGGAAACCATTGTTTATGGGATAAGTGGGTGATGGGAAGATGGGGCATGGGGAGCGGGGGAGAGTGGGCTGGTCAGGCGGGGAGGGCCTCTGGGGAAGTGACATTGGAGGGCAATGAGAGCCTTAGTGTGAGGGACAGCCATACCCCCGGGAACCACCAGTGCAAAGGCCCTGTGGCCGCATGAGTGTATGTCCAGTGGACAGCAGAGAGGCCTATAGCAGGGAGTAGAGTGGAGTGAGCAGCCCCGGGAAGAGAGGGCGGAGAAGTCAGAGAGGTGGGCAGGCCCCATGGGTGGGAGTGACGCGTCAGGGTTTTATCTTGGGGCCTTGGAGAGGCAAGGGATGCCTGTTCACAAACCAGCCCTCCCTCTCCCTCCCAGCCCTAGGGTGGTGGCAAGGATTATCCCAGCTTGATGACCATGGGGAAACTGAGGCAAGGGCTGGGTGGAGAGGGGACGTACTGTTGCAGGCCCAGCATGTTCCTGATGAATGTCCCCAGGCCCTTGTTCCCCTTCTCATGCCCACCCCCTTCTCCCACCCTGGCCTTCCTGAGTGGGAAGGAAAATGACAGTGAGGAGAAGGTGGCCCGACCCACTGGGCCCCACGTGCTAGTCACCAGCGTCCCCACACCCACCCACGGACAGCCCTTGAAGCTCTCGTCTCCACTCTCCAGATTGAGAAACCGAGGCACAATTGGCTAAGTCTTACGGTCAAAGAGGGGATCCGAGCTTTTGCTCGCAACTGCCAGGTTGGGTAGGCAGGACGGGGCCACTCCTGGACACATGCTCCGTGCCAGGCCCTGAGAGTCCCCGCCCCACCCAGGCCTCCAGAAAGGAAAATGGAAGCGGCTGCCTTCCAAGAAAACAAAGAAGAGAGGCTGGGCGCGATGGCTCATGCCTGTAATCGCAGCACTGTGGGAAGCCAGGTGGGTGGATCATTTGAGGTCAAGAGTTCAAGACCAGCCTGACCAACATGGTGAAAGCCCGTCTCTGCTAAAATACAAAAAAATTAGCCAGGTATGGTGTCACGTGCCTGTAATCCCAGGTACTAGGGAGGCTGAGGCAGGAGGATCACTTGAGCCCAGGAAGCAGAGCTTGCAGTGAGCCAAGATTGTGCCACTGCACTCCAGCCTAGGCAACAGAGCAAGACTCCATCTCCAAAAAATAAATAAATAAATAAAATGAAGGAGAGAGAGTGGAGAGTGGAGAGAGCCAGCCGGGAGGGCCTCTGGAGGCGCGCTTCTCCAGCACGGCTACGGGACAAGGGGTGGTCGGATGGGCCCTGAGCTCTGAGCGCTTTCCACCTTCCTCCTCCTCCACTGTTGGCAGCTGCTCTCTGGGGGCTTAGGACTCTCGTTCTCCTAGAGGACTTGAACCCAGCCCTTGTGTTGACTGTGGCCTTCTTTACCCATGAGAGAGCTCTGGCTGGGATCAGAAGACCTCTTGTAAACTGTAAAGTGCTACCTCTATGACCACAGTCCCCACTTGCTCTGGGGGCTCAAGAAAGAGGGATCTGGGCCTCTGTGTGTGCCCCCCAGAGGGTGCCTGCTGAGAGCTTCTGGGCAGCAGCCCCTGCCCCCCCCACCCCCTGCCAGTCTGACTGCCCACCCCCTACTAGGTGAGGGGCCACAGGGAAACCAAGGCACAGGGAGCTCTCAGGCCCCACACAGAAAGCCCGAGCTCCCGGGCAGATTGCATGGACAGTGGCGCCTCATGTTTTCTGTGTGTTATACCGTCATATTTTTTATCTCTATAGAATTATCTTTACACATATACAAAAGTTTGCATTTCAACCTTAAAATTTGTATTTTATTGTTTTTCTATTTGTACACACATAAAAATACTATTTTTACCGTTCATAGAGAAAATACAGCTGATACATCAAACCCTTTATTTTATGGCTAGCATGTAGTCTTCATTTCATTTTGTAACAGTGTAATTAAGATATCATTCATATACCATACATTGCACCATTTAAAGCGTATCGTTTAGGCCAGGCGCAGTGGTGCACACCTGCAGTCCTAGCCCTTTCAGTGGCTAAGGCAGAAGGATAGCTTGAGCCCCGGAGTTCAAGACCAGCATGGGCAACATAGAGAGACCTTGTCTCTACAAAAAAAAAGAAAAAAAAAATGCAGAAATCAATCAGGCATGATGATGTGTGCCTTTGGTCTCAGCAATTCCAGAGGCTGAGGTGAGAAGACTGCCTGAGCCCAGGATGTCGAGGCTGCAGTGACACTGCACCAGTGCACTCCAGCCTGGGTGACATAGCAAGACCCTGTCTCAAAAAAAAGTGTATCTTTTAGCTTTTCTTAGTATATTCAGTGTTATACTAAGAAAGAAACCCTGTGCCCATCCTAGTCACCCCCATTCTCCCTTCTGCCAGCCCCAGCACCCACTCATCTCCTTTCTCTCTGGATGGATTGGCCCATTCTGGAATTTTCACAGGAACGGAATCTACACCAGAGGCCTTCTGTGACTGGCTTGTTTCATGCACATCGTGTCTTCAGGGTCCACCCACGTCATAGCCCGTGTCAGAGCCTCATGCCTTTTGATGGCCACGTGTTCCATTGTGCGGACAGGGCACGCTTTGTCTCCCCGTTCATCTGTTGGTGGATGTCGGGTTGTCTCTGCCTTCTGGCTGTTGTGGGCTGTGCGGTGCTGCAGTGATGGGCGCGTACAGCTTTCTGCGTAGATGTTTTCTCTCATTTGCCTGGTGTGTGCCTAGGAGTGGAGCTGCTGGGTTTAGGGCAATGAGGACTCACCACCCTCTTTCCAAAGTGGCTGCGGCATTCTGTTTTAAATTTAAGCTTGCAAGTGCGAGCTGGTTGAAACGGATGGCAGTAGATAAACCTGGGGGAAGGGACATGGGGGTGGCGGCAGTTGAAGCCGCAGGCGGAGTATGCTGGGATGGGTGACTACCATCTGTTTGAACCTGGGTCAGGGTGCCTTGTCCTGAGGATGGCGGGGAGGGCACGGCTGGGCCCAGGTCCAGGGAGCGAGGCAGGGCAGCGGCCAAAGGAGAGGCTTTAGGTGGTCCTGGGAGATCACGCAGGGTCTAGACAGGTGGAGGGACGGGAGGGAGGAGAGTGGGCCGGTGGTGGGGGCGGTGGAGGTGCATGCAGAAGTCAGGGTGACCTTCCTCGTCTGGCCCCCGCCTGGGCGCCGTGGGCAGCCTCAGCAGGCGTCACCGAGTCTGTGTCTGCTCTCCCCGCTCAGCTGAGCGTGTGGCAGATGCGGGCAGCAGGCTGGTACCTGCAGGACAGTCTGGTCACATGCCGGTGGCCCCAGGGTCCTGCTATGGCAGACAGTGGAGAGGGGACTGCTGGCAGAGGCCTCAGCACCCTGGGCATGGGCCCTGCTCATCTGCAGGAAGGAGGTGGGTGCTTCTGGGCACCTGGCATCCCGCACTGGCAGCTGAGTGCTGGGGTGGTGTGAGCTGTGTCCCCGTTGTCACAGCTCTCACCTCGAGGCCAGTAGGCTGTGGCTTACGGTCTGCACAGGATGTTGTCACTGTGGTCACGGCACAGAGTAGAGGCTGTGCCGACAGGACCTGCTGGCTTCTTGCACCCAGAAGTTTTGCCTTCTGACTGAATTCCAGGCCCGTGTCTGCTGCCCTCACGCCTGCCATGTGATCATTTCACTAGCTCAGAAGACCTAGGACACAGACTGGGTTCTGCATTGCCTCCAAATACCCCCAAACGCAGGCCAGGCTGCTTCCGTACCCCCAAACGCAGGCCAGGCTGCTTCCGTACCCCCGAACGCAGGCCAGGCTGCTTCCGTACCCCCGAACGCAGGCCAGGCTGCTTCTGTACCCCCGAACGCAGGCCAGGCCGCCTCCAAATACCCCCAAACACAGGCCAGGCCGCCTCCATACCCACAAACACAATCCAGGCTCCCTCCAAATACCCCTAAACTCAGGCTGGGCTGCCTCCATACCTGCAAACGCAGTCCAGCCTCCCTCCAAATACCCCTAAACTCAGGCTGGGCCGCCTCCATACCGGCAAACGCAAGCCGGGCCACCTCCATACACCCAAATACAGGCCAGGCTGCTTTATGCCCAGCAAATGCAGGTTGCAGGAGGGAGTCAAGAACTGGGCAGCCCCGGGCAGCCGCACTGGGCAGGTGAAGGGTTCTCAGGCTGGAGCAGATCCAGTTCCTGCCCTCGGAGACCTCATGCCAACTGGGGAGCCAGATGGGGATTATGGCAGGTGTTGCGCCCAGTGTTGGGGCCTTGGAAATCCTGGAAGGCTTCCTGAAGGAAGCAGCACCCACTGAGCAGCTTGGGAGCCACACCTCAATGCATGCTCTGCTAGGCACCATGTGCCCTGTGTCAGCCTCTGGTTGTGCATCTCAGTAGCAGACAGAGGAAGGAACTGTCACTGTGGCTGACTGGTAGACAGTGGGCATGCCCTGCCTACCCCTCCACACAAAGCCTGTGGCCTGGGCCCTTGTTTTCATGTCCTCGTCCTTCATGGATAGTGTGTGGTAGAGATTCCAGGAAGTGGGTGCGGCTCCCCCACTCCTGCCTCTGTAACCGGAGCTCATTCGGCTCCATGCCCACTGTCCTGCCCTGGCACCCGAGCCTCTCAGATTCGAGTGATGAGGAATCTCTTGGTGAATCTCTTCATTACTCTGTCCCTGAATCGGGCTGATTCTTTGACTTTCTGGCAGCTTCTGGAGGGCCATGTGTGGTGTGGGCCCCAGGTCGGGCTTCTCTGGGATTTTCCTTGCCTGGGACTGTCTTTGGGGATGTTTGATCCCAGCCTGGGCCTCTAGCATTGCCCGGCTGGCCTCTCAGCCAGGGTGGGGAGGCTGGCTTGGCCCCTCATGAGGCCTGCAAGAACCAGGGGAGTGAGTGAGGAGGCACCTGCCTGCCCACTTGTGCCTCCCCTCCCCTGGCCCCAAACCTTGGTCTGTTTCCCCAAGAAAACGGTTGACATTGTCTGGGTGACCTGCACGTCACCTCGCGTCTCAGGGCCTTAGCCTCTTCCCCAGGGCTTGAGACAGGAGAGGCCGTCAAAACCCAGCAGCCCGCCACCTGGAAGAGTCCGGCTGCGGGCCCCCAGCTGATGATGCTCGTGTCCCCACAGGCTGCTGTCCCCAAGGCCCAGCCTCCTCACCCCGACTGGCGACCCCCGGGCCAACGCCTCGCCCCAGAAGCCACTGGACCTGAAGCAGCTGAAGCAGCGAGCGGCTGCCATCCCCCCCATCGTGAGTGCCCACCCCCAGAGCCCCGCAGAGTCCACCCTGACCTTGACTTTCCCGTTCATCGAGACAGAGAATCCCACGGGTGGGAGCGCGCACCTGCAGCCCAGCTCATCTGCTGCTGTTTCCTGGAGAAACCCCCATGGAGATGAGGTGGGAACAGCTGGGGAAGCTGGCAGGTGCACTGGATGGGGCTCCCGGTGAAGGCGGGGACTGGCAGCCTACCGCCTCCCCGCTTTCACCCTGCAGCACCCTTGAACCCCCACATTAGATACTGGGTCATGGGGAGGCAGGAGCTTCCCCCACCCACTCAGCTGTAGCAACAACTTGGCCAGGGAAGGGTGGGGCTTACCTGTTCTGACCCTGGGGCCCTCTGGGAACACCCCCCTGGAAGGTTCTCTCAGCTGGGTGGGTGGGCCCGTGGAGGTGCCTTCTCCAGGGAGGTGAGTCCGGGCTTCCCAGATGCAACTGGGGGTTCCGAGCTAAAAGAAGCTGAGCTGACCAGGCTGGTGGTCCCTCGGGGCTTTGAGTGATGGGCTCAGGGCGTGCCAGGCTGCACCGCCCAGTCCCCCAAGGCCCACAGAGTCCTGTTGCTCAGTCCTGGCTTCCCTGAGACCCAGAGGATTTGGGTCCACGGAAGGAGCTGGAGGAGAGGGTAACGGCAGGCTCCAGCCTCCTGTCTACCACCAGGCTGCTGAGCCAGGCTTTCTGGGGAGGTGGGCCCCCCTGTTCACCACCAGGCAGCTGGGCCAGGCTTTCTGGGAGGTGGGCTCCCCCTGTCCGCCACCGGGCAGCTGGGCCAGGCTTTCTGGGGAAGTGGGCTCTCCCTGTCCATCACCAGGCAGCTGGGCCAGGCTTTTTGGGAGGTGGGCTCCCCCTGTCCGCCACCGGGCAGCTGGGCCAGGCTTTTTGGGAGGTGGGCTCCCCAATGTGCTCTGTGCTAAGACCTCCCCTTCTTGCCCCACTTGGGACCTTGAGCATGTCACTGGCTTTCCCAGGCCTTGGTTTCCAGGCTGGTCACGTGCATGTCTCTCCCTGACCCTGTCACCGTCGGACACCCTCTGTGGATGCTCACTTCTGCCTGCTTTCCTCAGCAGGTCACCAAAGTCCATGAACCCCCCCGGGAGGACGCAGCTCCCACTAAGCCAGCTCCCCCCGCCCCACCACCGCCACAGCACCTGCAGCCGGAGAGCGACGCCCCTCAGCAGCCTGGCAGCAGCCCCCGGGGCAAAAGCAGGAGCCCGGCGCCCGCCGCCGACAAGGAGGGTGAGTCCACATCAGTGGCTGAGGGGGGCTGGGGCAGCAGGGGACTGACGGGCAAGGGACGTTTGTGTGTCCAGAGCAGCTGCTGCAACCCCCACGGCCACAGTGACAGGGAAAGCAAAATAAATGAATGGAACAGTTGAGCAGGCGGAGGCAGTTGGGAATGGTAGGGACTGCGGCAAACTGGAGAACTCATGTTTTCTCTGAAATGGGCATGTATTGGCCTTGGCCAAGAGTAACCCCGTGGCAAATCACGCCTGGGGTGGTTCTTCCAGCAAAGCCAGAAATCCATCTTCTTATGTGAAATCCCCCTGGTTTCTCAACACAGACAACTTCTCAAAATTTTCAAAAGCATTGTGAATACACAAAAACGTGTCTGCAGCCCAGCCTCTGATTTGGTGTGAATCAGTCCACGCAGGAGCTTCTGGAATCACAGATGGGGCCCAGCACCTGGCTGGCAGCAGCTCTGGGGCCTGGACAGGAAGGGCTGCCCTCCCCAGCTGGCATTCTGACCTTGCTCCAGGCCCAGGTCTCTGGGTTCACCAGGAGCCGGGAGAGGGGGTGACTCCTGAGCAGCTGTGTCACAGTGACTGCCCCGGGCACACCTCACTGTCATCACGTGAAGCTCAAGGTTAGGAGACAGGCAGGCGTAGTTGCTTGTTCTCTGGATCTTCAGTCTCTACCCCACTTCCCACTGGGCCCAAGAAATTCTGAACCTGTGTCCCCAAAGAGGCATCTTCTCCAGGTCAGCCTGGCATGCAGCAGGTGCTGTTGTGCCTTGCAGGTGTTGGGGGCTACCTCCCCAGAGGTTATCCACCCTGGGCTAGCCCGGGCGCTTGCTGGCGGGCTGTTCCAAAGGTCTGAGGGCAGCAGGACCCCAGGCCGACCTCCTGACCAGCACAGCCCAGGGACGAACCCGGGTGACCGGAGCTATCACCAGCTGTCCCCTCCCCACTGCCTTGGGTGTGACGTCCCCCTTCTCTTTTTTTTTTTTTGAGACGGAGCGTCAGTCTCGCCAGGTTGGAGTGCAGTGGCGCGATCTCAGCTCACAGCAGCCTCCGCCTCTGGGGTCCACCCGAGGCTGGTGGGTCAGGACATTTGTTTTTGTTTTTTTGTTTGTTTGTTTGTTTTTTTGAGACGGAGTCTGGCTCTGTCACCCAGGCTGGAGTGCAGTGGCCGGATCTCAGTTCACTGCAAGCTCCGCCTCCCAGGTTCCCGCCATTCTCCTGCCTCAGCCTCCCGAGTAGCTGGGACTACAGGCGCCCGTCACCTCGCCCGGCTAGTTTTTTGTATTTTTAGTAGAGACGGGGTTTCACCGTGTTAGCCAGGATGGTCTCGATCTCCTGACCTCGTGATCCACCCATCTCGGCCTCCCAAAGTGCTGGGATTACAGGCTTGAGCCACCGCGCCCAGCCGGGTCAGGACATTTGTTGAAACCCAAGGCCCCAAGCACCATGCTAGGCAGTGGGGGTTCGGCAGGGAGAAGGGGAAGTCTCTGCTGTGAGGAGCTGCTGTTTTTTTGAGTGAGGAGGATGTTAAACCAGGGAACACGTAATGAAGCAAGATGATTTTAGAGTCGTTCGTCCATCATGAGAAACAAAACGGGTTGAGTGAAGAGGCGGCTCCGGGAAAGACCCTGTTGGTGGGGGGGGGGCAGCCCCGCCACGGGAGATCTCTGGGTGGGCGTTGCGGGCAGAGGGAACAGCACGTGCAAAGGCCCTGGTGTGGAAACACGCTCGGGTGTGTGAGGAGTCGCCGGGAGTGGTGTGGCCGGGGAAGGGTGGGCGGGTGGACAGTGAGGGAGGTGGGGGCCAGATTGTGTAGGGCCTCTCAGGCCACAGCAGGCAGTGGATTTTTGTCTCAGGTGTGGCAGGGGCTGCTGGAGGGATTTGAAGTGAGCGTGTGTTGTGGAAGGGGAAGGGGGTGCTTGTTACCTGATTTATATTTTGGAAAGCTCTCTCTGGCCGTTGTTGAGTCAAGGGCAGAAGCAGGAGGTCACAGCGCTGCTCTTGGCAGGCGACAGAGGCTGCCTGAACTGCACAGGTGGCTGTGGAGGTGGAAGGAAGGGCGCATCGGGAGTTCGTTTTGGAGGCAAAGCCAGTGGGGCGTTGAACCCGGTGTGGGGATGACGCCAGGGATGTCTCGCTGGAACCGGGATGCCTCATGACAAGGGCTGGGCCGCCTGGGGCCAGGGTACAGTGTGTGGCCCAGGGGGTGGCTCTGGGAGATGTTGCGGGTTTGGGGCACCAGCCCTGGAAGGAGCTGTGTATCCATGTCAGGGGCCCCAGCAGCTTTGGCCAGCATCAGATCTGATCGGGGCTGGAACTGCACGGCGCCAGCCAGGTCCTGCCGAGCCAGGTCACAGGCCCCTGTCCTGGGAGAAAGGGAGCCACCGGCCGGCAGTTTCTGCAGCTGGCACTCAGCCTATTGGTGTGGCCAGGGCCTGTGCCGTTTCCTGGCCTCATTCCCCATGGGGACGGTGCACCTGGCGTCAGGCCCTGCATGCCTTTCTTGCACAGCCTGGCTTGCAGCTCAGCTCCCGCAGGGACACACATGAACTTGACACCCAGCGCTACCTCTCTGGTCTCTCAGGAAGCCAGCCTTCTCTGCCCCTGGCTCCCACACAGAGCGGCTCAGCCAAGCAGGTCCCTCGGGGCCCCCTGGGCCCAGCTGGAGGAACAGGTTGTCTCTCCAGGCTCTCGGCCGCCCGCCCAGCCTGGCCTAACCCCAGCTTGCCTTCCTGCATCGAGCAGCTCCCCTCCTCTCCCTCTCAGCTCTCTGGAACTAGGCTGGAGGAAGCACCAGAGGCATACAGGGCTGGGTAGCCAGAGGGGCGAGGTCCAGGGCGTTTGCAGGATCTCCAGATCTGAGGCAGGCCCTGTACAGCTGCCTCCACTGGGGACTGGTTAAGAAGGAGAATTCCCCTGCATCTGTGCCCCCCTGCCTCCTGTGGGCTGCCCACCTGGCCAGGGCACAAGTCCAGGGAAACTCAGTCTTCCGGGAGAGAATTGGGGGCGATTTGGTACACAGGCCTCCTTGCCCACCTGCTCTGCTCACGGCAGGCATCATGAATTGATCTTAGCACTCTCCTCCGCTGTCACACCCCAATGGGCCCTCAGAAGCTCCTTTGTTCATCTGGAGGTGGCGTGATAGATGACACCTGCCTGCCATTCCTGTCCCAGGACCCAGAGGCCTCTGTCATTCCCAAGTTATATCTCTGCTCAACTTCTTGGCCGGTTATCTCCCCCAGGATTGGTCCTCAGGGAGAGGTTCAGAGCTGAGGACAGATTTCAGCAAAGGGTGAGAGGCCGGCAGGAAGATGCCATGAAGCCAGGCCTGAGCCCCTGGGCCCTGCTGAGTTTATAGGATCTCCCCAGGCCTGAAATCTAGGACCCATCATTGCTTCTCTGCCACAGGCAGTGTGGCATAGCAGTCCGGGTTAAGGCCATGGTCTGCAGCCCCCGTGCCTGGGTTCGAAGCTGCTATCTGCCACTTGCTAGCTGGAGCCTTTGACCAGGTGACTTAACCTCTCGGCCTCTATTTTCCCGTCTGTGAAATGGGGATAATCAGTCAGTTCCTTGTAGGGTACTGTGAGAATAAATGAGTGAACATGCTTAGATCCATGTCAGCCATGGAGGCGTAAGAGAGCATTACCTCTTGGGTGTTGCCCTTTGCACGCTCCGCCTGGTAAGTAGCTTTGCCTGAGCTGGGGCTTCTCAGCCAGCCAGCGCACAGTCACTGTTTGCACTGGCTCAGTGGGCTTCTGATCCTGACTCGGCTAAGTATTTGCTGGTGAACTCAGATAAGCCCATTGGTGTGTCTGTACCTCAGTTTCCCTTCTGTAAAATGGGTCTGGCAGCAGTCTCTGTATGAGCTTAACAGGAGGCTCATGGAGGCCATGGGGTCCTGAGCACAGCAAACTGAGGCTGACGCTGCAGTTGTTATCTGGAGGGTCTGGGCTTATAACCCCCCACTGCCTGCCACAACATACACATCCATGCACTCACACACAAGAGTGAGAATTCCCCTGCGTCTGTGCCCCCCTGCCTCCTGTGGGCTGCCCACCTCGCCAGGGCACAAGTCCAGGGGAAACTCAGTCTTCCAGTATATGTATGCACATACACGTGTGCGCGCACACACACACGCACACACATCACAGGTCACCTCCTTCAACATTGTGTAGAGCACAAGCCAGCAAACTTTTCCTGCAAAGAGCCAGAGAGTAAATATTTTAGGCTTTGTGGGCCAGACAATCTCTTGCAAGGACTCAGTTCTGCCATAGACAATAAATAAATGAACAGATGTGACCACGCTCCAGTAAAAGCATATTTACAAAGTCAGACAGTGGGGCCAAGCGTGGTGACTCACGCCTGTAATTCCAGCACTCTGGAGGCCAAGGTGGGAGGATCTCTTGAGCCCAGTGGTTCAAGACCAGCCTGGGTACACATAACAAGACCTCATCTCTACAAAACCAAAACATAAATTAGCCAAGTGTGGTGCGGTGACACGTGCTTGTAGTCCCACCTACTTGGGAGGCTGAAGTGGGAAGATCCCTTGAACCCAAGAGTTCAAGACCAACCTGGGGCAACATAGCAAGACCCCATCTCTACAAAAGTAAAACAGATTAGCCAGGCATGGTGTGGTGGTGGGCGCCTGTATTCCCAGCTACTTGAGGGGCTGAGGTGGGAGAATCACTTGAGCCCAGAGGTCAAGACTGCAGTGAGCCATGACAGCACCAGTGCACTCCAGCCTGAGTGACAGAGGGAGACCCTGTCTCAAAAAAGTTAGGGGCAGACAGACCCCCTGAGAGACCGTTCGCCGCTTCCTGGCTTCGGGGCCTGTCCAGGGGCCTCGGCTTGCTGGACTTGGCTGAGTGCCTGTGGGGTTGTAGAGCCACAGGGTCCCGTTCTCGTCCTCAGGGGCAGCTGAGACCCCCCAGCCCAGACCTCGAGACCCCTCCCCTGCTGAGCAGAACACCATGGGGTTACAGAGCAGCGCCCGGGCAGGCAGACGTGGGGGGCTTCCCAGAGGAGCCCAGGCTGTCACGGGCCGCCACGACTGTGGGTGCAGGAAGGCCGTTTGAGTAGGGTCAGCCAGGGCTCCCGAGGTCTGACTGCCCTGCCTCCTGCCCTCAGCAGAGAAGCCTGTGTTCTTCCCAGCCTTCGCAGCCGAGGCCCAGAAGCTGCCTGGGGACCCCCCTTGCTGGACTTCCGGCCTGCCCTTCCCTGTGCCCCCCCGTGAGGTGATCAAGGCCTCCCCGCATGCCCCGGACCCCTCAGCCTTCTCCTACGCTCCACCTGGTAAGTAGCTCTGCCCGAGCTTGGGCTTTTCCTTCAGCCGGGGCACAGTTACTGTTGGCACTGTTGGCACTGTTGGCACTGGCTCAGAGCTGCACACAGAAGCACCTTAAAGCCTCATGGGACCCGGCTGGAGGGACAGCCTGGTCAGTGGAGGGAAAGGGGGAGATCTTTTGAGAAAGCTGCCCCAGGATTGAGGTTGAAGCCACTGGCAAGAGGGAGCCACAGCAGGTGCTTGAGCTGGCGAGGGGCAGGCTTAGAGTGGGAGCTATGTTTTCCATTGACGGCTTAGAGCTAGAGAATGGGCAGATGGTAGAAGAGCCTGGGGAAGGAGCAGAGGTGCTGCCTTGGTTCACAGACTGTGAGGCTGCATTTCGGCCCTGTTCTAGGTCCTGCAGCCCTGCTGGGCCTTGCCAGCTATATAGCAGCACAGCCGGGGGCTGGTACAGACTGTGTTGGTAAATGCTGGTCCCGAGGGATGCGTGGGCCAAGGGAGCCAGAACAGGGAAAGTCATGCCAGGCAGACGGAACAGCATGTGCAAAAGCCCTGTGGCAGGAGAGAGCAGGCAAACTTGAGAAACTGAATCCGGCCACCACTGCTGAAGCTTGGTGCCCAGTGAGCTGGGGAGACCAGGGGCCAGGTCAGGCAAGCCCGAAGGCCGAGTCAGGGGCTAAGACTTTGTCCTGAGGGCAGTGGGGAGCCATTGAGGGCACACAGCAGGGGGCGGGTGTGCACCAGTGACTTTTCCAAAAAGGTCCCTTTGGTTCGTGTAAGGGGAAGGGACTACTGGGAGCTACAGTGGAAATGGGAAGACTAGTTAGGGGATCCAGGTGAGACTGGAGGGGGCTTGGATCAGGACCTGGGCGGTGGGGAGGTGGGAGGCTTCCCCAGGATAGTGGTGTCTGCATCTAGGACTCAGGTCACTAATGAGGACGGAGCCGGGCAGGGCAACAGAGGGGCGCGCATGGATGGGCACTTCCTGGCCAGGACAGGGAAGAGGTGGAGTGCAGCCTGGGCTGTGTGTCCAGCAGGGACATGACTGCTCCTGGGCCCCACAATGGACAGACATGTGCTCCACAGGTCACCCGCTGCCCCTGGGCCTCCATGACACTGCCCGGCCCGTCCTGCCGCGCCCACCTACCATCTCCAACCCGCCTCCCCTCATCTCCTCTGCCAAGCACCCCAGTGTCCTCGAGAGGCAAATAGGTGCCATCTCCCAGGTGAGTGGTAGCCCTTCCTTTCTTCCTTTCTTGGGGGCTTGGTCTTCTCTGTAAAGTGGGGGCGATGGGACCAGTGAAGTCTGGGTGGGGGCCAGGCTCTTGGGGGTCTGGGTCATTTCCACTCAGGCATCTGGGGTCTGAGCTGGCTGGGTCCTGCCCCAGGTACTCAGGGCCTCGTCCCTGGGGGGGTCACTCTGTGTTGCAGTCAAGGGCACGGCTCGGGAACCAGGCTGTGTGGCCTCAGGCAAGTTACTTAACCTCCTGTTTCCCCCACTGTGAAATGGAAGGGCAAATGCGAGGGGCTCAGAGGGTATGGCCCCTTCACAGGGGAGGGGGCCGAGGCTTGGGAGCAGCAGTGACTTGTCTGCCATGACACAGCTGGACAGCAGCCCCGGCCTCTGACCCACATGTGGGCTTTGTGAACCGGAGCATTAGGCACTCTGGACTGTGGGGGAGGGACCAGGGTGCCCCTGTGACCTCACAACTCTGCACCTACAGGGAATGTCGGTCCAGCTCCACGTCCCGTACTCAGAGCATGCCAAGGCCCCGGTGGGCCCCGTCACCATGGGGCTGCCCCTGCCCATGGACCCCAAAAAGCTGGGTAAGGCTCCTGGCCCATCTATCTGGGTGGCTCAGGCTGGGCTCCGGCTGTCCTGTGGCTGGGGGTGGAGGTGAGGAAGGGGTATCTTGGCCCACGGTACTCCAGGTAGCAGCTGGGAGGTTCCCCCTCAGCAGCCCTGGCTGGAACATGGTGAGGAGGGGCGGCGCTTCCCAGCCCCCGGCTCAGGTTGGGTGGGGACAAGCCTCCCGGGACTCTGCCCCGGCCGCACATGACTCGCTCCTCTTACTGGTCCTCAGCACCCTTCAGCGGAGTGAAGCAGGAGCAGCTGTCCCCACGGGGCCAGGCTGGGCCACCGGAGAGCCTGGGGGTGCCCACAGCCCAGGAGGCGTCCGTGCTGAGAGGTGAGGGCCCTTCTGCCCTGGACCCCCAGCATCTGCCCCTGTTCCCGGGATGCCCAAGGGGCCCTTTATTCAAAACCTGCTGGGGAGCATCCTCTCCCAGAGGGTCTGGGGACCCCTCTTCACAGCCGTCTCCCTCACCATTTAGGGGTAGGGGGACTCCCTCTGCGTTGAAACAAGCACAACTTGTGGGTCGCTCAGTCAGGGTGGCTCTCAGGACCGGGGCCTGAGGAAGGAAGGGCCACAGACACCCTCTCAGCCCCGTGTCTTGTGTCTTCCAGGGACAGCTCTGGGCTCAGTTCCGGGCGGAAGCATCACCAAAGGCATTCCCAGCACACGGGTGCCCTCGGACAGCGCCATCACATACCGCGGCTCCATCACCCACGTAGGTGTCCTGGGGTGCGGCATGAAGGATGGGTTGGGACCGGCATGGGACCAGCCCATCTTATAACCCCTCATTGTCACCAAACCATTAGCCTCAGCCGATGGGGTGATGACGGGGGGACAGCAGTTCACTCCATGAGCTTTCATCTTGTCTGCATGGAGTCAGGCACTGGGGTTGCCAAGCACAGCTCAAAACTCTGCTTTCAGGGAGCTGCCATGTAGTGGAAGGAAACAGACCAGGGTAAATAAGTCAGCTGGTGAAAACTGAGCAGGCAGAGGCAGAATGTTAGTGCCCCGCGGCTGAGAATGCCTGGCCAGGGAGATTGCTTAGACAGGTGAGGAAGGTGACATGTCAGCTGTGGCCGGAAGAAATTGAGGGTGCAAGCCATGCGGGAATCTCAGGGAACAACATTCTAGGCTCAGGGAACAGCATGTGCAAAGACAGAGCGTGAGAGGGTTCCTGAATCGTGCCAGAAGTGGTGCCCCAGCCTTGCAGCTGGTGAGCTGTGGACCCAGGGTTTTGTGCCACGAGTGTCTGGCTCTAGAACACAGCGACAGTTTGTGGGCTCATACACGCGCACACACGCACACTTGTTCTACCAGTGGAGCTGCGGGCGACAGGATGGTCCACAGGGAGGTGCTTTTGACTCAGGCAGCGTCAAATCCCACCACAGAGGAGCTGTTTACACTTCGTCCTTCCCTGAAATCTGTAGGTTTGAAAACTCGGAGCTTTCAAAGGCAACTGTGCTGAGTGGGAAGGGCAAGTGCTTTGGGCAAAAGTCAGGCTGAGGGCCCTCAGCTGCCAGCTCTGTCACCCACTCAGACAGCGGCCTGCCCTGACTCAGTTTCCCCTTTGCTAACTTCCTGGGGGAGTCATTCTCCTAAAGTCATAGGAAGCTTTGAGGTTCCCAGGCGTCCACCTGCTCTGGGTTCCTGGGTGGCCGTGACCCGCACCCTTCCTCGAACCCTCCCAGTTACACACACGTCTTTGATTGCTTTTGGCAGAGAGCCAGCCGCCAAAACATGTGAGATAGGCGAGGGTCAAACTTCCCTGCAGTCTCGCTACCAGATAGTGAGGAAGTCAGCGTGTGGCCTGCACACATAGAGCTGTTTTATTAACCGAGTGGGTGCCCCAGGCAGGGACCATGTGGTTCCACAGCTGGCGAGGGAGGCTCGAGGAGGTCACAGCTCCCTGATCCTCCAGGGACTTCCTGCCCATCTTGGGAGTAGAGTTCACTGGGGCCAAGAGCAAGAGGCTACGGGCTCATCTCCTGGAAGCCGACGTTATGCAAACAGAAGCTTCCCTGTTAATGGGAGTTTGTGCCATGTATTCTCCCAAGAGCAGGGGCCACCGGCTGGATTTCTGTTCTCTGTCCATGTCCCTGAAGATGGCACGTCTAAAATACTATAGCTCAGAAACATCAAGCTGGGCACGGTGGCTCATGCCTGTCAGCCCAGCATTTGGGGAGGCCAAGGTGGGAGGATTGCTTGAGCCCAGGAGTTTGAGACCAGCCTGGACAAAAAGAGGCCTGTCTCTACAGCAGATTTAAAAATTGGCTGGGCATGGTGGCACATCCCTGCAGTCTCAGCTGCTCGGGACTGGGAGGCAGGAGGATCACTTGAGCCCAGGATTTTGAGGCTGCAGTGAGCTATGACGGTGCTCTAGACTCCACCCTGGGCAATGCAGCAAGATCCCTTCTCAAAAAAAAAAAAAGAATCAGATGCCTCAGTTTCACCATGGAGAGCCCCCCCCCACACACACACTTTTAAATCATTTATTGTGGTATTCAGTAAGCCACTGATTTCTGCAGTACAAACGCAGTCTGACATGGACCATCTGATGTTAGGGCTGGAGACAGAAAGAGGCACTTGTATCAGCTGCCTCTGGGCGGGGCTTTTCCCGCCAGGATGCTGCAGGCTTCCCCTTGTGCTTTCCTGATGGGAGCAGTGGCTGCCCGGAGCTGTCACCTGACTTAGCACCTATTGTGCCATACTTTAGTGCACAGGTGACTTACAGCACTGCAGGGAGATGCTGCTCAGAGTATTTGCTTTGAGAAGCTTGGGGGTAGCTCACTGGAATTCAGGGCATCTTGCTGTTGCCCTCCACAAAGACCAGGATCTGCGATGAGCACCCCGGGGTACCAGGTGCTGCCCTCTGCCAGGGGATGTCCCCACCTGAGCAAGTCCAGCCAGAGACTCAGAGCTCACTGGTCCAGGTCTTGGGACATAGTAGGACCCCTACCGTTGAATCTGCTCCTGGAATCCTAGAAAGAGAAGAGGGATGTTGAGATTTGGGGATCCCTTGTCTGTGCCAGCTGCCTTTGAGAATCATCAATGCAGAATGTTGTCATTTTGTGGATGTGCAAACTGAGGCTCAGAAAGGAGGTCCCACGGTAACTTGGTAGTAAAGTTGCTGTTTGACACCCAACATTCTGACTCCAAAGTCGTATTCTAACTCTGATGCTTATGTTCTTGAAAGTCACCTGCGGCAGGATGCTGCCCCATGTGGCCTCTGCTCTCTGCTTGAACACATCCTCTGACGGGGACCTCATTCCCTATATGGTAGTGGTTCTCAGTCGGGGGAAATTGTGCCTCCAACTGTCTGGGGACATTTGCAATTGTCCTAACTTGGTGGGGGACACACTGGGGAGGCGTGTACTACTGGCATCTAGTGCTTTGAAGCCAGGGACGCTGTCATATAGCCCGCAGTGCACAGGGCAGCCCCGCAACAAAGAAGGGCCCAGCTCCAGCTGGCAGGAGGGCCGAGGTGGAAAACCTGGGTTAGAACTAAAATTTCTGGTGTCCTGCCCTGACGTGAGTCCTTGTCCTGGTTTTAGGAAACCAAAGTGCATGACGTGGTCATGGGCACAGCCCAGGAGCAGAAACCTCAGCATCCCCACCAGTTACCGTTTTCAGTAACTGAATGTCAAGGCTCTGAGGAGTAAAACCCATGCAGTGGTGGGGACACAGACTCCAGGACCAAAATGCCTGGGTTCAAGTCCCCGCCTGACTTTACCCCAGGTAAAGTCACCATGCCTCCCTGTGCCTCGGTTTCCCCATGTGAAACAGGCATAATCAATAGGGTTGCCTTAGGGTTGTTTCAAGTATTAAATGAGCGAATCCATAGAGAGCAGCCAGAAGAGTGTCCCGTGCTCATGGGAAGCAGTGGACAAGGGATCCTCATTCTTCAGCTTCCTCACAGGGTTTGTTCCGTGCAAGCTCTTACCCTTTTGAGACAGTGTGTGTGTGGACACACGTGTGCATCGGTGGGCACGTGGGCTTGTAAGCACGTCTGTGTCTGCATTTGAGTTGAGAGGGGTCCTGGGCTGCAGCCTCATGGGCGCTCACCCCTCTGCACCTGCAGGGCACACCAGCTGATGTCCTGTACAAGGGCACCATCACCAGGATCATCGGCGAGGACAGCCCGAGTCGCCTGGACCGCAGCCGGGAGGACAGCCTACCCAAGGGCCACGTCATCTACGAAGGCAAGAAGGGCCACGTCTTGTCCTATGAGGGTGAGTCGCGGGAGGAAAGGAGGCCCAGGACCAGGGGAGGAATGTGCTTGGCCCACTGAAGTAGCTTCACAGGGAGGCAGGGCTGGGTTGACATCAGAAAGCACAGTCTCATAGGTATGCAAGAGAGCAGTAGGGAAGCGTCGGCCTTAGCTGCATCCCACCTCCGCCTAGTTCTTTACAATTTAGGAAACAAACTTGTGGCCAACCTTTTTAGAAGCATAGGAGGGAAACTGAGGCCCAGAGCAGAAGCCCAAGCTCATGCTGCCAGACCTCCAGCACGGCACTGACAAACCGTGCCGTCTCTCACTGGCCGTGAAAGAGGCCATGGCCAGAGTGCGCCTCACCCCGCCGTGCCCCAGGCGCTTGCTGTGGAGCCCCCATCCTCTCCCTCTCTAGGCTCTGGGTTCCAGAACCAGGAGACCCTGCCAGGAAGGAGTTAAGGGAGTCGAGTGCCGGGAAAGAGAATTGCCTGGCAGCCTAGGGCACCCAGGGGTGTGGAGATGAAAGCTGCTAATGGGCGCCTCTCTCAGCACTGCAGCTGCAAGGCCCGGAACTGCCTCTCCTCCATCCGCTTCCGCCTGTGCCTGCGGCCCCCTCCCCAGGCCTGGGAAGTGGAGGTGGCACTGTGTAGCTTAGGAACATATGCGCTCCCTGCTGCCACGGAGAGAGCCTTGGAGACAGGCCTGCAGCTGTGTCTTGGGTGCCAGCTCATGCCCTAGTGCCCCTGGACTGAGTGCCCTGGGGGTGGCGGGAAGCCTGGGAAGGGCTGGTGGCGGGGTTAGTCAAGGGCTTGTCTTGAGAGGTCACTGGGTAGAATCCCACCTTGGGACCCCCGACCAGTGCCTGAGCCTTTATAGGCCTTGAGTGTATCGTCTTCATCATGGGCTTCAGTCGGGGCCCTTAAACTCTCGTCTGCTCCCCGGGCCAGGTAGGCAGTGCGGGCAGCGGCAGGTGTGAGACTATAGGAAGTGCGGAGGACTCTGGTGCCTGCCCACGCCGTCCACTCCCCCACGGCCACCGGTCAGCCAGGCTTCCCATCTCTCCGTTTTTATCTGCAATCCCCCAATGTTTAAACATCGGCGGTTAATTTGGAGTGTTTTCTGAACAGCAACCCAGTACCCTCCTGTTGGCAACCACTGGAGTAGCTCATGGGCTGCGGGTCACACAAAGCAGTGGTTGAAAGCCTGAGAGCCTGTCAGCTGGTCATTCCCTCTGAGGGGTGGGGCGGGGGCTCCTTTCTGATAGCTCTGGACTCAGCTGCCCTGGAGGGAGAGCCCTGGCTGATGGGCAAAGCCAAGCCTTTACCTTTGGGGGCCACCTCCATCTGTTCAACCCTCTGCCTGTCCGGGGAGTGGTGACCGGGCCAATCTGGGCTCCTTTGACCTGGCGAGGCCACTCCTGCCACGGAGACTCCCTCACCACTCCCTGCAACACACACCTTTCCATGCACATGCGGACTCGTGGTCGGACACTCACATGCACATCGACACAGGCTTCTGGGTGTGACGTGTACACATGCAAAGCCGTGTACTGCCTGGCACCCTGGTACATGTGTGTACATGGACCCACTTAGTTCTCAGCAGCCAGGCGTGTGCCCACATCCACTCCTGCACACACAGACCCGTGCCCGTGCACACGCGTGCTCCTGCCTGCCCCGCACATCCACTCTGCTGATGCGTCAGTGCACACGCGTGCCCCTACCTGCCCTCACATCCACTCTACTGATGTGTCAGTGCACACGCGTGCTCCTGCCTGCCCGCACATCCACTCTGCTGATGCGTCTCTGCACACGCGTGCCCCTACCTGCCCGCACATCCACTCTGCTGATGTGTCAGTGCACACGCGTGCTCCTGCCTGCCCCTACATGCACTCTGCTGATGCGTCTTTGCTCACGTGCATGTGTGTGCACGTGTTCACGCCCCATGTCAGCGCCTGTGTGTGTGACCACAGACTTGCATGCTCATGTGTGGTCACAGGCAAACCCTTGCTTGCAGACCAGCACCCTGGAGGGCTGGGGTATGGAGCGCAGGCAGCGTGCTTTGCTTCTCCCACTGTGTAACCCCCTGGAAAAGCTCTTGGGTCCTGCTGGCAGGCCCGGGGGCTGCAGGCTGTGGGCTCCCTCTGGAGGCCTCAGCTGTGAGGCCTTGTGACAGGCCAGCATAGAAGCACCGCTGGCTCTTGCCCACCAACTCTGCCTGTCCTGCCTGTCTACCGCAGTCCTGGGCCCATGCACACGGTCACCCCGTGCCCAGCTCCTCACCAAGTGCTTTGTGTGGTTTCCAGGTGGCATGTCTGTGACCCAGTGCTCTAAGGAGGATGGCAGAAGCAGCTCAGGACCCCCCCACGAGACGGCTGCCCCCAAGCGCACCTACGACATGATGGAAGGCCGTGTGGGCAGAGCCATCTCCTCGGCCAGCATCGAAGGTGATAGCAGGGAAAAGACTTCATCTAGGCACCCCCTGCAGGGCAGTGGAGGGGAATGGCTGACCCCATTTTACAGATGGGGAAACCGAGGCTGGGCTTTCTGAGGCTCCATCTGGAGGCAGCGCAGGGACCTTCACGTGCTGGGTCTTACTCCACCATCATCGCGGGGACGACCACTGGTGGCTGTAGACACCCCTGTCACTGCCCAGTGCCGGCTCAGGGACCCATGGAATGATGGCCTTGCCCCCTCCCACCCAGGTCTCATGGGCCGTGCCATCCCACCTGAGCGACACAGCCCCCACCACCTCAAAGAGCAGCACCACATCCGCGGGTCAATCACACAAGGTACCGCCCTGTCCCCTGCTCCCTGGGTGCCCCAACGGGTGTACAGTCAAGCAGGGCACAGGAGGGGAGAGACACAGCCAGAGTGTGGTGGGAACTCAGGACAGGAATGCAGAAAGGCCTGTAGTACATGCGTACGTGATCAGTACGTGAGCTACGGAGCAAGGGTGTCTCTTACTTATTTGAAAACAAAAATGAAAAGCAAAAGACCGCCGATCACCCCTCTGCTTTTAGGTGTTACATAGCAACTGCCCTGTGCTTGGCACTAACCGGCATATCGTTTTACAGAACATCCTGGTGAGGCACATGCGATTGGGAGAGGCTTGGAGAGCTCTGAGAACTCTTTCAGGTTCTCGTGGCTGGTCCATGGCACAGCCAGCTACTGTGAACTTGGCAGCTTTGTGGTCTTTATTTTTTATCTTTATTTTGTTGTTGTCGTTGGCGTCTGAGACAGGGTCTCATTCTTGCCCAGGCTGGAGTGCAGTGGCACGATCTCAGCTCATTGTAGCCTCCGCCTTTCAGGCTTAAACAATCCTCCCACTTTAGCCTCCCGAGTAGCTGGGACCACAGATGCACACTGCCACATCCAGCTAATTTTTGTATTTTTGTAGAGATGGGGTTTCGCCCTGCTGCCCAGGCTGGTCTCAAACTCCTGAGCTCAAGCTATCTGCCTGCCACAGCCCCCTCAAAGTGTTGGGATTACAAGCGTGAGCTACTGCACCCAGCCTGTGGTTTTAGCTTCATGATTTCATAGTGTTCACGACTTACTGAGGTGGTTCAGTTAATATTCTCGTTTTATGTATGAAGAAGCTGAGGCCCAGAGAGATCAGATTCCCTGATCAAGGTCACACAGCAAGTGGGGATTCGAACTCAGGCAGTCTAGCTCCAGAACCCACTGGTGCAGAAGCTCTTGGTGGGTCTGGACGGGGCAGGGCGTGAGGGTCAGTGCTGTCCGCCCGGCAGGGATCCCTCGGTCCTACGTGGAAGCACAGGAGGACTACCTGCGTCGGGAGGCCAAGCTCCTAAAGCGGGAGGGCACGCCTCCACCCCCACCGCCCCCGCGGGACCTGACCGAGGCCTACAAGACGCAGGCCCTGGGCCCCCTGAAGCTGAAGCCGGCCCATGAGGGTCTGGTGGCCACGGTGAAGGAGGCGGGCCGCTCCATCCATGAGATCCCGCGCGAGGAGCTGCGGCACACGCCCGAGCTGCCCCTGGCCCCGCGGCCACTCAAGGAGGGCTCCATCACGCAGGTACGGCTGGGGCCAGGCAGGCAGGCCCAGTTCTAGGAGGGGCGGCGGTGGCTATGAGACATTGCCCTGGGCCTCTCCACATAAGGAAACCGAGGCTGAGAGCCCTCGCCTGCCTTACAGTCAACCAACTGCTTGTCCCTGGGCCTCGGCTGTGCAAGTTCCGGGGCTGTGCAGGGGGCATCAGGCTCCTGACCTCATTCCACTGAACTCCCATTGTTCCCATTCAGGGAGAGAAACTGAGGCCCCGAGAAGCCAGGCAGGCTTCCAAGGCCACAGGACTCAACACAGTCACGAGTAACTGAATAACTGCCTCCGTTGAATCTTTGGCGCGGCTTGAGGATGTTGCATGCGTTCATTGTTTCACCCCCTAGCAACGCTCTGAGGTCGTTTTCTTAATGACCTTATTTTATTGCTGAGTAAATGGAGGTTCAGAGAGGCTTAACGACTCACCCAGAGTCATGCAGCAAATGCAGCTGTGAAACCCAAATCCAGATATTCCTACAGCTGCAGCATCCACTGCACCCCCCAGCAGGCTGCACCATAAGAGGCCCCCGTCCCACCAGGCAGCCCCAGCGCAGTAGGGGAAGTTCCGTGCCGATGGGACGAGGAGCTGCTCGGTGGAAAGCCCCTGAAGGCCACCGTCCTTCCATGTAGGCAGAGGTGGCCTCCTGTGAAGGGGAAGAAGAGTGGGAGCCACTCTGGGGCTGTGGGGCTGTGAGGCGGAAGGATTGGGGTGGGTGTCCCGGGAGGGGTTCCAGCTTGCAGGAAGGTTTTGAAGCCGGGGAGAAGGTGGAAGCAGTAAGATCCCTGAATGCCAGGGGAAGGGTTTGGCTCTCAGCCCCTAGGCAATTATGGAGTCCTTGGCAAGCATCCACCGCATTACCAAGACAGGGGCCAGATTCTAGAATAATCTTTTGAAAAACAAGGGCAGTTCCCCTTTTTATGAAAGTAATGAAGACATCCCTAAATAGAGTTTTGTTGCTTGCAAAGCCCTGAGGCCCCACCACATCAGTGTCTCCCAAGCCTGCTGAACAGGGGCAGGGGACCTGGTGGCCTGGCTACGAAGGTCCCAGTCTGGACTGTAACCCCCGCCATTTCCTCAGCCACCCTTTCGGTCCCGAGAGCAAACACCTCAGCCCTGACCTCAGTGTCCCCGGGGCTGAAAGCCTCAGGGCGGGTGGCATTGAGTCTGGGTGCTGACTTTCTCTGCTCGGCATTGGGTGGGCCCCGGAGGGTCTCAGGCTGAACAGAGGAAGGTTTTACCCACATGCGGGTGTCGGGCGTCTTTCTGGCGAACTCCAGGGACCATGAGGGGGCCTACCACTCGCAGCAGGGAGAGCGGACTGCCAAACTTTTTACCCCTTTCAGCAGCCCTCCCAGGGAGCTTGGGGACCAGGGTCAGGCCCGGGGTGGGCAGGGCAGTAAGTAACAAGTGTGCCCATCTCAGGGTTAGCAAAGCTGTCCGTCTCCCTGCCTCTGGAGGCATAAGATGTCACTTCCATCTTATAGATGACAAACTGAGGCTCAGAAGGGGGATGCAGCTGGTCTGGGCTATGGCTGTGGCCAAGGCTGGAGCTCACACCCCCTCTGCCCCAGGGCACCCCGCTCAAGTACGACACCGGCACGTCCACCACTGGCTCCAAAAAGCACGACGTACGCTCCCTCATCGGCAGCCCTGGCCGGACGTTCCCACCTGTGCACCCGCTGGACGTGATGGCTGACGCCCGGGCACTGGAACGCGCCTGCTACGAGGAGAGCCTGAAGAGCCGGCCGGGGACCGCCGGCAGCTCGGGGGGCTCCATTGCGCGTGGTGCCCCAGTCATTGTGCCTGAGCTGGGCAAGCCGCGGCAGAGCCCCCTGACCTATGAGGACCATGGGGCACCCTTCGCTGGCCACCTTCCGCGAGGCTCGCCTGTGACCACGCGAGAGCCCACGCCGCGCCTGCAGGAGGGTGAGTGAGTGGGGTGTACGTGGGCCTGAGTGGGGTGGGCGCCTGTCTGGGAAAGCTGTGCCTCCCCATCCACTATTAGCTTAGTTCGCACCCGGGTCATCCTCGCCACCTGCTGTCCACCACATCCAAACCACCTGCAGTCCTGTGGACTCTGCCTCCAATTCCAAACCCTGTCCAATTTCTTGCCACCTCCCAGACCACCATGGTGTCTCACCTACTTTCCCCCACGCCCCTCCCTCTTCCTGCTGTAATCCACTCTGCAAACAGCTGCCCGAATACTTTTTAAAAATGCAAATCAAATTATTCCACTTCCCTGCTTTCATCCTTCTAGCAACTTCACACATTTTGCTATGGCCTTGGGGCGCCTGCATGTTGGGGCCCTGCCTGCCTCTTGTTCAACCAGATTCCTTCGTCCTCCCCAGCCCCAGCCCCAGGCCCCCTTTCTCTTTGTTCCCTGGCCATGCTCAGCTGGGTCAATTCCGTCTTTGCTGGGGACCTTTGCATGGCTCCTCCTCTTTGCCTGCCATGTCGCTGCCTTCCAGATCTTTACACAGTGGGTTTCTTCCCATCCCTCGGGTCTTCGTTTCAATGTTACATCCTTGCAGAGGCTTCTTCTAACCAAACCCCCTCTCCCCACTTCATATCACATGCTGTGACGTTTTAAAATTGTCTTCCGGCCAGGCATGGTGGCGTACGCCTGTAATCCCAGCACTTTGGGAGGCCGAGGCAGGCAGATCACCTGAGGTCAGGAGTTCAAGACCAGCCTGGTCAACATGGTGAAACCCTCTCTACTAAAAATACAAAAAAATAGCCGGGTGTGGTGGTGTGCACCTGTAATTCCAGCTACTCGGGAGGCTGAGGCAGGAGAATCGCTTGAGCCTGGGCGGCAGAGGTTACAGTGAGCAGAGATCGTGCCACTGCACTCCAGCCTGGGCAACAAGAGTGAAACTCCATCTCAAAAAAAAAAAAGAAAGCAAATTTTCTTCCGCGGGTGTTTCACTCTGTAATTCTCATTTGTTTGCTAGTTTATCACCTGTCTCTCCCATTGAATGTCAGTTCGTGGGGGCTGGGATTGCTGTCTGCTTTGTTCACTGCGGTGTCCCCAGTTCTCACAACAATGCTTGCCACATTGTAGAGGCTGCATCAATTTTTTTTATTGATTGAGTGAATGGATTAAAGAATGAATTTTTTAAAAACTATAACACGAGAGCAAATGAGTCAAAGCAAAAAAGTGAACTAAGGCAATGAAGAAATGAAGGAGTGAATGAAGAGGCCTGGTCCTTGGGATCCCGAGGACCCTACCCTCAAACGACTCCCCATAAACGCCAGCCCCAGAGGCCCTGCATGGGGAGCCGGTGCAGAGGCCCGATGCATCCACCTTGCCCGTCCACAGGCAGCCTCTCGTCCAGCAAGGCATCCCAGGACCGAAAGCTGACGTCGACGCCTCGTGAGATCGCCAAGTCCCCGCACAGCACTGTGCCCGAGCACCACCCACACCCCATCTCGCCCTATGAGCACCTACTTCGGGGCGTGAGTGGCGTGGACCTGTATCGCAGCCACATCCCCCTTGCCTTCGACCCCACCTCCATACCCCGCGGCATCCCTCTGGACGCAGGTGATTGCCCCGGGGCTCCCAGAACCCTGCGGTGGTGCTGCACAGGGCCAGGGACCTCATCAGTGTTCCCTCAGGGACTCCTTAGACATCAACTGTCAGGTTCCCCTGGATGGGGAAACTGAGGCCTCGAGATTGGAAGACCCAACAGTGTAATCATGACCAGCTTAGGTTGGAGCAGAATTTCTCTTAGTAGTTTGCAGGACATGTGGGGTTAAACATTTCAGTGGTTTTCTTTTCCTGCAGGACTGATCAGTGCCTTTAGCAATGCAGTGGTATCAAATGGGGACTTGTGTATATGCGTTTTTCAAATAGACATGATCTGAAAATCTTTTTAAAATGTCGCATCCCTTTAGTGTGTTCATCTGCATGGGGATGTCCTATGTTTGGGACAACTTCCGTGCAAAAAGCATCCTTCATAGAAGTCACCCCCTTGTGTCCTGGGGCCATGTTTTCCTGCTGTCGGGCGCTCAGTTCTGGCTTGTGCTTTGGGCAGCCGCACATGTAGGTGGGAGAAGCTATCCATTGCAGAAGTAGGGGGCATCCAGACAGGTGGAGCGACGCCATCAGGCCTAGGTGTGGCTGGCCTCACATGAGCTCCCCTCTGTCCCGCAGCTGCTGCCTACTACTTGCCCCGGCACCTGGCCCCCAACCCCACCTACCCGCACCTGTACCCACCCTACCTCATCCGCGGCTACCCCGACACGGCAGCGCTGGAGAACCGGCAGACCATCATCAATGACTACATCACCTCACAGCAGATGCACCACAACGCAGCCACCGCCATGGCCCAGCGAGCCGACATGCTGAGGGGCCTCTCGCCCCGCGAGTCCTCACTGGCACTCAACTACGCTGCCGGCCCCCGAGGTGCGTGGGCAGGCAGACCACCTCCACTGGGTTTGGCCTTATTCCCAAAGGACATGCGTGTACCCTGTGGCCTTGCGGAGGCAGCTGGACCTGGTCACCTTGTGTGTCACCTTGTGTGAACAGACCTGAGTGGGTGGCCTGGGGTTGTGCATGCCGTGGGTGCTGGTTGGCATCTGGTAGGTGAGTGCCGGCGTGTGCCTCCTGGCTGCATCCTCAGTGGGTGTGCGTGCATCTGTGTATACTCTTAGGATACAGGGGCCTCAGGAGCTTAAAGAAAGATCAAAATGTGGCTGGGCACAGTGGCTCGTGCCTGTAATCCCAGCACTTGGGGAGGCCGAGGCGGGTGGATAACAAGATCAGGAGTTTGAGACCAGCCTGATCAACGTGGTGAAACCCCGTCTCTACTAAAAATACAAAAATTAGCCAGGCATGGTGATGCGCACCTGTAGTCCCAGCTACTCAGGAGGCTGAGGCAAGAGAATCACCTGAACCCGGGAGGCGGTGGTTGCAGTGAGCGGAGATTGTGCCACTGCACTTCAGCCTGGGGGACAGGGCGAGACTCTGTCTCAAAAAAAAAAAGAAAAAAGATGAAAATGTGAGGTGAGGCTGTTTGGAGTTTGTTCCTTTGCCTCGTAAACAGCCCACAGCTGCTTTGCATGCACGTGTTCCAGGGCTGTCCTCAGAAATGCTTCTGGAATAACCAAGTTCTAGTTGGGGTTCAGCTGGAAAAGCCGAAGTCACACTAGGTATTTTGAACAGCGTGGGTTGAATACAGGGAATGGATTGTGTAGGTGTGAGAGGCTGAAGGGGCACAGAGGGCCTGAGATGGGAACCAGTGAGGGCAGCTGGAGGAGATGCCGCGGCTCAGGCTTGGGAGCAGAAGAGGAGGTGGGACCGAGAGAACCTGAGCATTCAGGAAAGGGTTCTATGGCTGGTGCTGGGAGCTGAGGAGGGAGTGCCCGCCACCAGCTCTGCTGGCTCCAGGAGTGTGTGCCATGCTCTCCAGGAGGGTGATCTGGCCGGTGGGCAGCCTGGCCTCTCTCCTCCCTGTGGCTACAGCCCTGGCCCAACACCTCCCGCAGGCATCATCGACTTGTCCCAAGTGCCACACCTGCCCGTGCTGGTGCCCCCAACGCCAGGCACCCCAGCCACCGCCATGGACCGCCTTGCCTACCTCCCCACCGCACCCCAGCCCTTCAGCAGCCGCCACAGCAGCTCCCCACTCTCCCCAGGTAGCGCCACCGCCCAGTCCAGGGTGGGGACCCCGGCATCCAGGGTGGGGACCCCTCCCATCCATGGGAGGTGGCTGGGGATGGGCGGCAGGCCCTGCTCTCTCTGCCCCAGCCTAGAAGACAAAGCCAGGCTCTTCTTGGGCCCTGGGGCTGAGTCTCTGGCCTTTGGGTTTCCTAGGAGGCCCCACGCACTTGACAAAACCAACCACCACGTCCTTGTCCGAGCGGGAGCGAGACCGGGATCGGGAGCGTGACCGGGATCGGGAGCGGGAAAAGTCCATCCTCACATCCTCCACGACGGTGGAGCATGCGCCCATCTGGAGGCCCGGTAGGGCATCAGAGCCCCCCACCGCCCCCGCCCCGGGACTCCCTGTGGGCCGCAGGAG